GACTGAAAGAAAACCAATTTGAAACTGAACTGTCCATAAACAATAAAACACAAATATCTTACAGGTGTCTTCACAAAAAAAAATTATATAAAGTCTGAAATTTAAATTAATCATGTTTCCATCTCCTTTTTGGATACTTTTCACTCACACCTTCCCAATAGTTTCCAGTACAGTTATACTCTTCATTATCCATTGAGTCACCCAATATTAAAAAGATCACACAATTTATCGCCCAAACAAGGATACTTTTGAAAGTGAAGGAAAACTACTAATTACTAATAATTACATCGGGTCTTCAGGTGTAAACCATAGCCCAAGTAATCCAGAAAATATGATCAACATGGCCAAATTTTTCCCTGTCCCTCAGAGACATAGGTCATATGAGCTTTCTGCTAACGTAATAAAACTAAATCTTGCTACAAGGTCAAGGGCAGAATAAGGATTTGACTATTTTCTCTCCCAGACAATACATGCACTTCAATAGTTAGCTTAATCTAAATATGAGAATTTCAAACATCTTTATAAGATCAACAAAAGAATAACATTGGATACAAAAGGATTTCCTTGGCATCAATAAAATTGAGTGACTGACCTACAGGCCTTGAATCTGGAAAAACCTCCACTGAGAGGGAGAATCTCTGAAAGCTTTACTATAATTAATGAGGAGATTTGATATACCTCTGAATCAAAAAATATATCTTATTTATCATGCCGAGCCATTTTTTCTCAGAGAAGACTTCCCAGAAGCCCAACTAGTATGTATTTATAGAGATTTAATTTTACATACATCACATGGTAATTTTAATGAGTAGGTGTTATAGATATGTGCTATCCTATCATACCCCTAACTATAACAGCTTATTTTAAATCCAGTCAATCTCAGAACTGAGATAGAGTGTTGACCTAATGGCAAATTTATTTCAACAAAATAACTAAATACCCTAACACATTCTTCAAACTGATTTTTGTTTTGTCATAAATGCACATAAGTATCCAAAAAGAACATGGCAATATTAAATACAAAGTCAATCTAAGCTCATTATTAAAATTAATTTCAAAGGCTATTTCCCCACACTCATCATGAAAGATAATTCAGAATACAAAATTAAGCATTTTCAATTAATATCAGTGAAAAATAAAAATTATTCTGATAAATATAGTTTTTTCTAAAGGCTTACCCCCCTGGTTTTTCATGGAATAAAAAATAGAAAATAAAAAGAATTCTTAAACTAGTATTTGTTTAAAGTCGGCAACAACTGCTTTCTTGGATTACTGAAACAAGAGGAAGGGCGATTATGACACCTTGGGGAAGGAATAACAAATATGATAAAGAACATATAGTTTGCTATAATGCAATGAATTTATTTACATACACATTTAGAGTTCCAGATGTGTGATTCCTGTGTGAAGATAATGATAAAAACTGTTTAAAAAGAAAATTAAAAGACAGGCCAAATCAAATTAAAAGAAGGTAAGAATATTCAATTTGTGGTGCTTCTGTACCGGTAAGACACTAATGTAAAGAGCCAAAGTATGGTCAGCTGATTAATAGGCTTAATAACAGAACAAATTATTCAGGAATAAACAGGGCCCCAAATAGGAATCTTATAATATGGTTTATGCTACCTAAAGAGGAGCAATTAATATTCATGCTTTCTTTGAGACTATGGAGTTATAGAACAAGAAAATGGTATGTGGGCAGGGAAAAGCATTACGAAAAGGAAAGAAAATACTGGTATTATGAAGTATAAGCTATTAAGACAGTAAGAACAGAGAAAGGAAAGAAAATACTGGTATTCTGAAGTATAAGCTATTAAGACAGTAAGAACAGAAAAAAATTCACATTATCAAGGGGGAAAATTTATTTTCTAAATTCTGTGTCAGAAAGGTAAGCCAAAAGTTAATGGTAAAAATCAAACTTTATTCAAAGTAATGATTTTTTCATGTACATGGCTTTGAATTTGGTTTTCATATTCACTGACAAAAAGGTCATGATATTTTTCAACTTAGAAGAAACTATCCAACCAAATCAATCAGATATCACAGAAACATTTCTATCACCATTAGGAAGTTCAATTTAGAATAGTTTGCCATCCAAATAATGCCACTTTAGCTAATACATTTATATTAAAGTAAAACATAAATTACATTGAAAATTACACATTTGCGAATTGATTCATAAACTAATTTCCACTAGCAAAAATTTTCACTTTTATGTAACTAAGAAAAAAATAACTGAAAGCCTAAAAATTTGAAGAAAGCAGTTCCTGGAGCAACTTTCAAACATTTCTAATGAGAAAATTTAAATAATTTAATTACCTGTAATATAACAAGAGCATTTTCTATGGAAAGGTCATCTGATGGTAGGCCTTCACTTTTCCAAATTAACTGTTCACTTTCAGTACAAAGAAATCTCCTCAGATCAAATTCTGAAATGTTAAAAATATCAATAATACTTCACTACAATGATCTTGCACTTGACTAATAGAAGGGAATAAAGCTATTTAAAATATAGTGAAACAAAAGTACTGCGACAATTTTTAAATGATCCATTCTTCCACATTTACCATCCAAATCCAAGGGGAAAAAACTTAAAAAAGAAAAGTGCAAAGGAATGGAACTTAGTTAAATTATATTTCTTCTATTGAGTGAATGTTTCACAACTATATTTTGTGAAAACTCAAAATTCACAAGGAATTTTGAAGTCCTTACATCTCATGATATTAAATTATTGTAAAAATAAAAGTAATAAAATGTTTACCTGCATTCATGCAATATCAAAAATAATTCAGTGATTTCAGTTTATTAGAGTGATTTAGGAATAGAAGAATCATAACAAACAGTTCTCAAGACATCTGTGAAATTCAGCAAGCCTAAAGTAGCTATGGTATCCCTGTAATTTACAGAAAATTTTCCCCATTTATAAAAAGTAAAATAACAGAAGTCAAAAGGTACATTTTTAGTACACTGAAATTTCAAATTCATGAATACAAACTTTCAAGACCAGCTGATTTGGTCCACTCTTCCAAACAGGTTTTTCTCAGACATTCAGGAGCAGCAGAAAGATATGTAATAAACGCAGCCGCTAGCTGAGCTCTTTTAGGAAGAGTAGCTAACTCCTCTGTTATCTCCACAACCTGGCAAAAAAAAAAAAAAAGAGAGAGAGAAAGATATGTATGGATATGTTCTAACATGGAAGAAAATGACAGCTTTAGAGAGTTCTGACTGTGGGAAAAAATTATACATTGGTTTAAGTAATAACCATTTGTCTTGAATACAATGGTCAAAATATAAAAATAACCATAAGACCTGAAACCCTGCTGTGATATTTCAAAAAGCATGAAATCCTAATATATTTATAGAAACAAACATATTTTGTCATTGAAAAGTTCCTAATGATTATAAAAAGCAAAACTTTCATCCTGACCACAGTTAGATGTGAATTTGCATCACTCTGTAAAATAAGATAGAGACATAGAGTATAAGCAAAGGTGTAAAACAAAGATAAAGCATACAGACTCAGTGAAGGGCTTAGTGTGGATAAACCATAAGCAGAAGAAACAGTGATATAGAAAGGATGAAAAGAGAGGTGGAGCTGATTGGGGACAGATTGTGAAAGGTTTTCCCATACCAAGCAAAGGAGTTCCTTTTTTAACCTGTGTCATGAGCCATGGAAAGTGTTTAAGCAGGCAGTGAGTAATGTAATTAAACTGGGTTTTAAAAAGATAATTCAGTTGATAAATGAAGGATGAACTAATTAAAGGGTCAGAAAGGAGGAAGACAAGTTAGGAGAATACAGATGAGAAAAGAAAAGGATTGTCATTAAAAATGGAAAATAATATGAATACTTGCAAATGAATATGTTAAGTAAGCAAAGAAGAGTCTAAGACAACCCACATGTTTTTAGTGTTGATGCCTAGAAGAAAGATGCCTCCAGTGAAATAGGAAATAATGGAGACTTTGACTGAGAAAAAGGTAAGTTAATTTAGACATGTTGGGTTTGAGATGAGAAACAACTAACTGTGAATATCTCAAATGTAGTTGAAAACAGGAATTTAAACTCAGCAGTGTAGCTTTGGTCATCATCATGGTATGGGTAATGTTAAGACTGGATGAGATAACCCCAGAACAGTTACAGAAAAAGGAGCTGAGGAAGAGAATACCAAGGACAATCAACATTACTGGGTGACAAGATAAGAATCAGGTGAGGGAAGGAATCTAACTGGTTAAAGAAAACAAGTAAGCAAACAACAAAGAGACAAGATTGATAAAGTCGAAATGTTAGAATATCCCAAGAAGAAATAAATAGTCAACAGTGTTGAATCCTAAAATTACTGGCCTGGTGAAAGTAAATTCAAAAAACTCTCTAAGAACTACTAATTTTCCATGAACTCATTTTTGTCCCTGCCCTTCCCCTCAATAACATGGTAACTCAAAAAGAGATAGGTTGTTTTGCTTAAAATCCATTCACATAAAGATACTTTGCTTGAAGATTAACTGACATAATGGCCATTTATACCTAGGTCATTTATCCTGAGTCAGCTGCAACTTAATGGACATTACATTATAGGTTTCCTGTGTTTTAAAGACAGACTCTTTATGACCCCACCCTCAAACGAACCTGTGCATTCCATCTCTTGTGTTCTCTATTGAGCTGATTAATTAAAACTTCTGCAGCTTTGATTGTTTCTTGTGCTTTGCTTACTTCAGCTTCAAGTTTGGCAGCTTCTGAAGTCCTGCTCTGAAATCTACAAAAACACTGAATTTTACTTAAAAGCAAAAAGGATTTAAGAGAGATTTAATGAAATTACCCTTAAGTAGTAAAATAAACTTTTATTCCAGAATTTAATCAATAATAATATTGATAATATTTGTATACAAAATATCATTAATAAAACGGACAAATATACCAACACGCAAAACATTCTCTACCTCAGAAAACTTGACAGGGTCTCCATACCCTACTATATTATGTACAAATTTATTGATATAGTATTTAAGGTCCTAAGACTGATCCAATTTATCTTTCTAGTTTTGTTTCAATTTATCCCAATCTAGCAAAACTATATGTCAATATCTGAAAAATTTTATTGCTTAGAAAATGCCCTATCCTCTATCTCCTGTGTTCTTAAGGATATTCCTTTTGCCACTTCCAACCACTTCCTTATCCCTATCTCATCCCTGAACCTAATCCCATCAAACATGTATCTACCTACCAAAATATAAACAAATTTTCAATATACAGTCCATTATATATAATCTCTTTCTACAGGCCCATTTGCCAAAGTTTATA